CCTATTTGCCCATTCAGATAACCAAAAAGTGGTCAGTTTATAGGAAAAACAGTACCGTGTACCATTAAACAGTTTTTAGGGGATGGCAATAGTTAATTGCCTTTATTTACTCTTTGTATTTATGGCAATTAAATGATTAATACACATTTAACATTATTCACTTTCTCACATTTACCGAATGTCGGTCTGCCACCCACGGTATTAAAAAACAAACTTTCCCGTGAAAAGCCCCATATAAAATCCAGTCGCCGTGTCGCTGTTTTGAATGTGATTATAGGAGCAGGAGAATGATGGTTGCCAGGGAGTAGTACTTGTCACTTTCTTCCTGCACAGCTTTCCCTGTCAAGCCTTTTCTTTTCAATTACAGTAACATTAGAATATTAATGGATTGTAATTATCCACCATCTACAGCAAGATCCATCGCATACACAAAGTGCTTCTACCATTAATGTCAATCTATATTTATACAACTGTGCTCAGATGCAATGGCCTATCCTAACAGAAACTGCCAGAGGTACAAAATATTAAGTAATATGTCTTTCTTTTCTTCAAGAAGGGTTTGTTAACAGTAAAGCACAACACTCACAATTTATTGCCAGGAATTAAACATTTACACAGCTAATCGGTAATCTGCTGTGTAAACACACATTATTGTGCATTTTCACTAAATACTGTGATTACTGTAGAACTGTTTTATATGCAATATATGCAGACACAATGGGGTTGATTTACTAAAGGCAAATAGACTGTGAAAGCTGCAAGTGCAGTCGCTCCAGAGCTTAGTAAATGAGAAGAAGAAGAAGACTTCCAGCATCCAATCATGTGCAAGCAAAAATACTGTCTTTTTTTATTTTCCTTGCATATGATTGGGAATTCTTTGCAAAGTGAAGGTTCACCTTGTGTTCTTTGCCCTGGAGCAAGAGCAACTGCACTCTAGGATTCCTTTCATGATATGTAATCAACCATGCTTATTTTCACCCCTAGAAAGGTTGTCTGTCTTCTATGGTTGGATGGATGTTTATCTCAGCAGTATGGTTTTCCTCCTTAGGTACTTTATATATCATATTTTTAATAGGAGTTTAGTAAAAGGGTGGTCACGTTATGTTTTGAGCCATGATACTCGACAAGTACTTAGACTATATATATGTTACATGTTTTTTGCAGGATAAGACTTTTAGGTGGTTGAGGGCCGTTGGGCCCTCCTCCCCTATTCCCGCTCCCCCCCCACCTGTGTCATCTTCTGGCCTCCTGGAGTGTCCGGACTGGATGTCCATAGCCCCAACTGTGTCTTTTGGCTCTTCTCGCTATGGGTTGCTTATTACAGGCGCACAGCTACCAACATAGGTAATGTGTTGTTATAGTGATTGGCTATTAATAAGATGATTTTTGGTGAAATGTTTATATACAAGGATATGATTCTGTGAGTACTTTCATGGGTTGTATATTTGCAGTGCTTTTTCTTTCCCTACGTTTGAACCCCTGAAGAAGCCTACCTGGTGAAACGTGTTGGATTTCACCACCCTCCATAAGATACTTCATCAATCAGCTCATGAACAGGGGCGGACTGACCATTTGGAAAGTCGGGCACTGCCCGAGGGCCCGTGGTCAGTAGGGGGCCCCATGAGTTGCCCCTGGTACCTTTTTCGTAGGCTTTTTTGAGTTTGGGCAAGGACACAGGGGCCCCAAGATCCCCTATTGCCCGGGGGCCCCATGAGTTGTCAGTCCGCCCCTGCTCATGAAGTTTATAGCTGTTCCATCATCTCATATATTTTTCCAGGAAGGGTGTTTAGGGTGAATAGCACTTAAGGGCATTGATACCTATGTTTTTTACTATTAGAGTAATACTGTATGTCTCTGTGTTTTTATTATATATCGTGTAATAAAACTTGATTCTTATATATTTTTATGTGCATGTCCATATCCTGGGGAAAATTTTTGCACCTTTAAAATCCCACATACTTTTTCTTTTTCGCTTTGAACTAGGGATGTGGTGCAGATGGATCAACTGTACCTATTTATACATTTCAAAAATGCATGGTAACTTGTGAATGCCACCTCAAACAACCTTACCAACGAATGTGCATTGTGGTGCACTGTACTGTCAAAAATGCTGCATGCAACATTTTAGTGCATTGTGTTGCATGAGGCAGCATATTTAAATAAATTGACTGCATTAATGCAAGCACATTAACACAAGCATAAAGTGTGCTGACATGTGAGCTCGACTGCAGCAGACAAGTGTAAATAGGCTCTTTAGATGAAATCTTCTAATGAGGACACCTGTTCCACTGACACCTATCTAAAGTTGCCCATAGATGGATTGAAATTTGGCCAGTTCAGCACGGACAAGACCTATTTTGATCCACCTATGGCTCTATGGATCTTCCCACTCCAGAGAGGTTGGATTCTTTTTAACGGGACTGTTGGAAATGTTTTATTTGATTAGCCAGCATGGTATTCTGACAGTGGAGGATAGACATGTTCAAACCAGAAATGTTTGTTTCGTTGTGGAGGTATGCATTCATTTTGTCAAATTAGTTATGTTGACCTGATTCGTTTTCGGAATTTGCATTGTATCTTCAGCATTCTTTTTGTATATTCATTGGTCCAGGTGTATTAAACAAATGTTGCAGTTTTCAAAAAATTATTTAATCGGACGGATTAGAAATTGAAGGATTCAATATTTTTGGACACTAGTCCAACCCACCAAGAGAAATGACATGAGCTGATTGGACAATATCAACTGGCATCATGTGCATCCGAAACATAGAATGGAATCTGAATGAAGCAAATGAAACCTATGCATTCGTTAATTGTGTTTGTTATTACCTTTTTTGTCGGATTCGTATACATTTGTTACTATGTCCATTTGGAGATTCATATACATTCGAAAAATTAATCGAAACAAAAACGCACATGTCTAGTGGGGAAGTCCCCACTGTCAGAATACAATAGCACATGGGTGAGGATTCCTCCATCTACCTTGATTGTGTGGATTGGAGGATCTGCTCGTTTTTTGTTTTGGATCAGCCAGGTGGCTTATCAAAGAAAACAAAATCCATCTATGGCCAGCCTAAAGCCACATTCAAATAGCGCATAGCAGGAACGAGCGTTCACATTTTTTGTTGTGCAATTTTCCTGTGATTTCATCTGTCACGCATAGGGTAGCCCAGGGCTTAAAATTTCAAGTCTACAGTTGCAAGAAAAAGTATGTGAACCCCTTGGGATTACGTGGAGTTTTGCATGAATTGGGCATAAATTGTGCTCTGAACGTCATCTAAGTCACAACAATAGAAGAACACAGTCTGCTCAACATAATACTACACAAACATTAGATGTTGCCATGGTTTAATTGCACATAACATGTAAACATTCACAGTGCAGGGGGGAAAAAGTATGTGAGGCCCTAGCTTAATGACTTCTCCCAGAGCTAATTGGAGCCAGGAGTGAGCCAACCTTGACTCCAATCAGTGTGATGATATTGGATGTGTTGCTGACAGCTGTCCTGCCCTTAAAAACACACACCTGTTTTGGGTTTACTGGTTTCAAGAAGCACTGTCTGATGTGAACCATGCCTCACAGAAAAGAGCTCTCAGAAGACCTACAATCAAGAATTGTTGACTTGCATGAAGCTGGAAAGGGTTACAAACGTATCTCCAAAAGCCTTGATGTTCATGTGTCCACGGTAAGACAGACTGTCTACAAATGGAGAAAGTTTAGCACTGTTGCTACTCTCCCTAGGCACGGTCGTCCTGCAAAAATGACTGCAAGAGCACAGCGCAGAATGCTGCATGAGGTAAAGAAGAATCCCAGAGTGTCAGCTAAAGACCTACAGAAATCTCTGGCACATGCTAACATTTTTGTTGACACATCTACAAGAAGGAAAACATTAAACAAGAATGAAGTACATGGGAGGACACCACAGAGGAAGCCATTTCTGTCCAAAAAGAATATTGCAGCACGTTTGAAATTTGCAAAAGAGCACCTGGATGTGCCACAGCACTACTGGCAAAATATACTGTGGACAGATGAAACCAAGATTGAGTTGTTTGGGAAGAACACACACAACACTATGTGTGGAGAAAAAAAAGGCACAGCACTCCAACATCAAAACCTCATCCCCACTGTAAAACATGGCGGAGGGAGCATCATGGTTTGGGGCTGCTTTGCTGCCTCAGGGTCTGGACGGATTGTTGTCATTGATGGGAAAATGAATTTCAGAGTTTATCAAGACATTTTGCAGGAAAACATACGACCCTCTGTCCGCCAACTGAAGCTCTGCAGAGGATGGGTGATGCAACAGGACAATGACCCAAAGTATACAAGTAATTCAACAAAACAATGGCTGCAACAGCACAGAATACGCCTTCTGAAGTGGCCCAGTCAGAGTCCTGACCTCAACCCGATTGAAATGCTGTGGCATGACCTTAAGAGAGCGATTCACACCAGACATCCCAAGAATATTGCTACACTGAAACAGTTTTGTGAAGAGGAGTGGTCCAAAATTACTCCAGATCGTTGTGCAGGTCTGATCTGCAACTACAGGAAACGTTTGGTTGAGGTTATTGCTGCCAAAGGAGGGTCAACCAGTTATGAAGTCCAAAGGTTCACATACTTTTTCCTCCTTGCACTGTGAATGTTTACATGTTATGTGCAATTAAACCATGGCAACATCTAATGTTTGTGTAGTATTATGTTCAGCAGACTGTGTTTCTTCTATTGTTGTGACTTAGATGACGTTCAGAGCACATTTTATGCTCAATTCATGCAAAACTCCACGTAATCCCAAGGGGTTCACATACTTTTTTTTTGCAACTGTAGACTTACTAGCCAGGAACAAACCTTACCCTCCAACAGTTGCCCCACCCAACCTTGCCCAGGTCCGCCTCCAGGCCACTGAGCTCCGTGTGAGGGCAGTGCAGTGGTTTCTCTACAGTGATCCCCCAAGGCAGTGCAGACCGGGCCTCTCCTCGTGTCCCCCGCGGCGGGGAGAGCGAACCTCTCCTCGAGTCCCCCCCGGCGGTGGAGAGGGTAACTCCTCTCAGCGGAGGAGAGCGGACCTCTCCTGCACCTGTCCCCTCAGCGGCGCTGCCAGTGTAATGGAAGTGCCGAAGAAGCCAGAAACCAGAAGTTGGAAACCGGAACTCGGCTTCACAATGAGGCTTGGAGCGCAGGTGCAGCCGCTCCATCCATCATCTGTGCTCACCACTCGCCACGCAAGAATTTCTCCTCGCATTTGGCGAGCGGCCTTTTCAAGCCCTGGGGTAGCCTATTTACTACAATGGGCTGCCCTATGTGCGTTTGTTCCTGTGCAACAAGCTTAGTGTGATTTTTAAAACGTGTGTTTTGATGCGTGAGTCTGTCGTGTGGCAATTGTGGCAGAACCGCACTGCGTTTGGAGCGTCATTAAGTATAACTGTACCAAATGTGTGTTGCATGTTTTGTCAGCAATCTGGAATCACGTAATGTGGTCTAAGACAGGAGGTGAAACCTGCCTGACGGAACTAAAAAAAAAAATCAATATCTCTATCCAAAACTAATGAAAAAAGTTTTGACTTTATACACACTTTCACTAGCAGACCACCAAATGTATATATACTGCAGCAGGGCAGCCATGTAAATGTACGCGATCCAGCATTTCTGGGTAGGGGCGCATGTGTTCGGCCCATCTGTGCTGTCATTCGGTTCACCACAAGTTGATCAACAGGTCCCAGCCAATGATTTATGGCCAACACCTGCTGATTGGTAAGAATGACAGTATAGAGCCCTGTGTTTACTGACAACACAGGTCTCTGTACATGGAGAAGAGATGTGGCTGTTTTTTTTCTCCCTGCAAAGTAATTAGATAAACCAGTCACATCTCTAAGTAAGAGCAGCACACATTACACTTGTTAAGCACACAGTAACCCTTTGATTGCCCCTAGATGTTAACCCCTTCCCAGCCAGGGTCATTAGTACAGTGACAGTGTATAGTATTATCACTGATCATTGTATTAGTGTCACTGGAGATGTCAGTGTCAGTTAGTTAGTTCCCACCCAGTGTCAGTTAGTGTCAGATTACCCTCCGTACTATCAGTGCCATTATAAGTTTCTGATCATTGCTATTAGTAGTATTAAAAAAAAAAATCCAGTATATCATAGTTTGTAGACGCTAACACTTTCAGGCAAACCAATCAATATAAACATATTGGGATTTTTTTTTTTACCAAAGCAGAGTATATTTTGGCCTAAATTTATAAAGTAATCAGATTTTCTTTAATTTTTTCATTGGATATATTTTATAGCAGAAAGTAAAAAGTGTAGTCTTTAAAAAAAAAAAAAATTCAGCCTTTTTATCGTTTATATAATAAAAAATTAAAAAACCCAGTGGTGATCAAATACCATCAAAAGAAAACACTAAAGTTTGATTTGTGTGAAAACAGATATATATGTAATTTGGGTACAGTGTTTGCATGACTGCGCAATTGCCAGTTAAAGTAGCATAGTGCCGAATAGCAAAAAAATGCCCTGGTTATGTAGGGTAAAATCTTTCGGAGCTTAAGTGGTTAATATTTTGTAAATAGTGTAGAAAATTCACATTTTTAAATATAATATTCTAACAATTCTAACATTATTAGAGTAAATATCTTGCAAAATAGTTATCTTACCTGGGCAAAACCGGGCATTCTGCTTTTGGCTTTTCAAGCTTGTCCAGATATTCATTAACAATAATGTCTTCTAAACTGCTTGGATGAGACCGTGCTGATGACGACAAATAACTGCGTACAGAGACTGAGGACAACTGGCTCCCCAACAGATGAGGCACTTAAAGGCCTTCGATAACTTGCCATGACCTGATGATAAGAAAAGTACATTTATTCAAATGGCTGTACAGTGCCAGTTCAACTTGTCATCATTTGATGCTTTAGTTAACCTGCAAGCCCTTAAAATGAATCAAATAGCATTCAAAGAGCCTGAGCAAGATATGCTGATATATAAGAGTCCAATTAGAGGTCAAAAGAATGTAATCCTTTCCTAAATAATTTTTAAGTAAATCTTTTAATTATCTTATTTCCTTCGATGATGGAGGCCTCCCACAATGTCTACATCCTCACAGCTAAAAATCTGTCAAACTGCCTGAACACTAATGTCATGAGATCTGGAGGTCTTAGTCTTCCCCTGGACCTTGTCAGGGAAAGATGGTGTTCCAATTGAGTATATTGAGTATATTAAGATATTACCGCAATTTTTTTTTTTTGAAGTTCATTGAAAGATACAGGTATTCTGAAACAGTTGGGTCATATACTGCTGCCTACAGGAGGTTTGGACAGAGCGGTAGCAATTTCAACCCGGTCCCTCCTTCAGGGGGCCCATGCGGCTTCACTGTATAACTGGATAGAAGGGCTGGCAGGAGTGGCATATAGAGGAACTGATCCCCTCCATGTTCCTCCTGCAGCGGCTGCAGAAGGAACATGGAGGGGATCAGTTCATCTCAGGGGCGGACTGACCATTCGAGCACTCAGGCACTGCCCAAGGGCCTGGGGTCAGTAGGGGGCCCCATGAAATGCCCCTGGTACCTTTTATAGGCTTTTTTGGTTGTACTTTGAGTGTGGGCAAGGACACAGGGGCCCCATGATCCCCTATTGCCCGGGGGCCCCATGAGTTGTCAGTCCGCCCCTGGTTCATCTATGTGCAGCCCCTGCCACCTTTCCTATCCAACGTCTTTCTGCTTCCCTGTGCTGCTGTGTTCTCTCCTGCTCCCCCCCTGGCTGCTGTGGGGGATGCTGTCAGGACAGCGGGGGAAGGGATAAACATTTTATTTACCAGCCCTTTCCTTGTTCGAATAGAGAGAGACAGTGATAGGTATCGATTAAATAATAACTGAGGCATAGTAAACTATGTTTACTATGCTTCAGTTTGTACATGAACAGGAAGCTCTGTACAGAGCTTTTCCTGTCCATTCAGTCTGTGCAGTTGAGACTTCAGAGAAGGAGACTGAGGGCTGTGTCCTCAATCTTCTTCATTTGTATCAAAGGTGAAACATCAGAGGTCTGTTTAGACCCCTGATATCTCACTAAAGCCCCCAAACGGGGCTCCAAAAAATTGCGAAAAAATATATAAAATTGTAAGAAAAAACAAATAATATAATTGGAAAAAAAAATAATGAAAAAATAAAATATCAAAAATAAAAAACTACTGACACCAGTGGCAGAACTATCTGGGTCACAAAGGTTGCACTTGTGAGCAGGCCCTGGAATTCTGTCACTGGGCTCGGAGGGAAGAGACCAGGCCAGGGGGGCCCTTCATGGTTTTTTGTACCAGCACCCTGAAGGTTCTATTTATACCTCTGGACACAGGCAACCAGAGAAAAAACATTGAAGGCCAGCCTCCATATAACACAGCTTCTAATCTAGTCAGGATGTCCAAAAGCAGTCTAACTTATGGGTAGGCAACCGCCACTGACAGATTGAAGACAGGACCAGGGGCCATCAGCAACAACCAGAAGGACCAATGCCCAATCTGAAATAGAAGAGATGACGTTCCCAGCAGGAGAGAGAAACTGCTAAGGACCCAGGGGAAGTCACAGGGGATCAACCTAATGCTCAGACTAGGACAAGAATAGCCACCAAATGGAATGGTTACCTGGAAGGACACTGAGTTTGTATTAGCAGAAGCAGTGAGCCAAGCAACAACCAACGGGTGGAATAATAAAACTACCTGAACCGGGAGAAGAGAGTAACAACAGGAATGGTCAACAAAGGGAACACTGGAAGGTTTCCCAGCCTCAAAACAGATCTCTAAAGGAAAATTGTACAACAGGTACACAAAGTAAGACCAGCCAGTCTAAGGATGAGAAAAGGCCCAAGCCTTAAAGCGGTAATAATCCCAAAGCTAGAAATGTAATATATTGCAACTTACCAATTATTAGATGTGGTGGCTGCATTAGTTTTCTTTTTTTTAGGTTTGTTCCCCTCTATTTTCATCTGGTGATCTGGCCAAAGTGCCCCCACTGGATGAAGGAGCACAGGGGGCGCTTTTGGACAGCAGCATTGTCAGTCTAGGGGGAGGGGAGTGTTAGATGTATTAGCAGATTTTTTTAATGCATTCTTTATTTATGGGGTTTTATTATCAATGCAGAACAGAGAACAGAAGGTACAAACTTTTACAAAATAGCTTAGGCACATTGTAGGTTAGTCAACATTAGACATCCAGACATATATAGGGCATAAGGAAGTATACAGGTTAATGCAGAAAAACTAAAAGATTGGACGAAGGTAGGCTTGAACTCCAAATTCCCAAACAAGATTTACTAGTTATATGCAGTCAATGTCAAGGGGCCCTTACGTGAAAGGAGTGAGATTCTACTTTCCACATCAGAGTTGTTGTACCTAAGGGGTATCACCGATTGACTTGCAGTGGCAATGGGAAGTACCATTCAATGGGTAAGTATGATAGCCTTGCCTGGAGAGGGGGCCTAAGTTGAAATTTGAAGATTAACAAATACTGAATTATTAGTGAATGAGAAGGGTTATCTATATAGCAAGATGGTAATGGAGAGTGGGGTAGGGGGTAGTAGGGAAGGGGAGGTGCACTTGGCTGGAATGTAAAAAAAGGAGGAGAGAGAGAACTCCTCAGTGGCTGTTATGAGTATTTTGAGAGAAAGGCTTGCAGCTCCGCTTGGCACTCTAACAAAGTACCAAGTTACAACCAGGGGCAGACTGACCATTTGGAAACTCGGGCACTGCCCGAGGGCCCGGGGTCAGTAGGGGGCCCCATGAGATGCCCCTGGTACCTTTTTCATAGGCTTTTTTGAGTTTGGGCAAGGACACAGGGGCCCCATGATCCCCTATTGCCCGAGGCCCCCATAAGTTGTCAGTCCGCCCCTGGTTACAACCATGTTCAGTTAGCGATTAGTAAGCTGCAATATATTTCATTTTTGGTTTTGGGTTTATTACCACTTTAAATGGGGTGGCTGCATTAATTTTCTTTTTTCAGGCCTTTTTTTCCTTTGTTTTCACTTGGTGATCTTGCCTCTTGTCTTAGGATGTCTCCACCTGCACAGAATCATTGTCAATATGGGGAGATAGTATTAACAGATCTATAAGGACTTAACTAACGAATTACAGCTGAACTTCAGAAAACCCTTTATAATCAGCTGCAGCAATATTTTTTTTCCTTTTGGGATAAAGATTTTACATAAATATATATAAAAGCTGATCATTGTAAGCAACACTGTCAATGTTGATTAGTTTGTCTCAACATTCTAACTTCCACTTTTGCTTAACA